CACTCACTGATGTATACCCGTCCACCTTGCTGATTGACTCGAAATTGCCGACGCCGCACTGGGGAGCGTTGGCTATAAGCAGCTATGCCACCGCTTGTCAGCTGTAACGAGGTCTGCACGGAAACCGTCGGATTAAACCCCGGTCTGACGAGCTTTCGTGCGGCTCTTCAGCGTATGAACACTCCCGGACAGGAATGTCCAGACCAGATTGCGTGGGGCACAGTCAGGGTAGCACCCTTCGTCCTTTGACCTGCGGGTGACCGCTGATTGAGAGATCTTCACATATCGCAGGGCCACGGAGTTGCGTCCAACCAGGGCACGATAGCGGGTCATCATATGCAACCCTATGGACGTTGATATGCAAGCGGACAGGAGACAAGTGTCCTTCAGGTATCGACTTATAGGGGAGACAAGGGGCTCCGGAATGATGGACTGTCGGAATGCTTACTGTCCGCTGTTGTGTAAACCATGTGTTGGACTGGCGATGGATACACAGACGACTAAGTGTACACCCTTTGTTCTTATAAGCAGCAATGGCTTGTCTCCCCGGACAAAGCCGAAAATACGCGCGCCGTCTATGCTGCGGCAGAAGTAGTGATGTTGGCAGCTGCCTCATCAAAGGCAAGCGATTTCACTTCCAAATCATTCAAGAGTGGATGTGTTGGGTGGATAGATTGCAAGTGGCTGCAAGTCAAAATGCGTTTCGAATTCAAAACGTAGAACTTTGGGCCTGCCTTAGAGTAGAACGTGCTCACCTCAGAGCAGACTCTACGTCGGATGTCCTGTTCCCTTTCAGCTCAGCGAGGGTAACTTGCGCTGCCAGAGCTTCGGCAAATCGGCCATCTATTGCGAGGGCTTCGTTCAAGGCATTCTCGGCGTCACTGTAGGCGCCAAGAAGGATGTGGGACACCGCCTTAGCGGTCAGAATGTGAGGATTGGTCGAAGAGCCTGGGGCCGATGCCTGTTCCGCGTAGATATAGGATGCTGTTTGAAGAGTTCTTGATCCCTATGGATTACGAGACATGCGTGAGCGATCCGGAGGAACTGAGTGGATAGTAGAGCGTCATACAACCGCCAAGCCAATGGTACCCTCGATCATCTGTATCAAGAGAGTATCATCTGCCCACTTCTTCGCAGCTTCGTACTCCTTCTTCGCAAGGTCGGGCCGAGCGATAGATAAATAAATGTGCACTATGAGCGCAACACTATATGGAACTCAGCTACACGCTCGTTCGCTGCACAGTGAGATGCACACCTTTCGATATCTCTAGATTTACATCCAGCCCCCAAAGTGGTGAGGGCTTCTTCGACCTCTCCTTCGTTGAAAAACGCAGTAGCCCCAAGGACCTTGATCAACCCTGGCCCAGTTCCCTCTTCCTCACTACCTTCGTAGCCTTCCTCGATCTCGATGCAGAGGTCGCGTAACTCCTCCAGGAAAGGTTCCCTCTCACCCTCGGCGGCGGCAAAATAGTTGGTTAATGACCGAAGGGCTCTGATGGGCGCCGACGTGTCTGAAGCAGGGAGTAGTGAAAGCGCAGCCGGATAGTTCTTTAGGGCGATGTGCGACCTAGTCGTATAGCATAGCGTAGCCAGGTACGCTTCATCCGTTGTCGGGGGAAGCGGGTTGTCACAGAGGTACTTGAAGTTTCCTAGAAGGTACACAACAAGTCGTGGGTTCCTCGACTTATGATCGAATAAAGTAAAGTACCCACCTAGGTAGAATTGGTTCTTGAGATAAAAGAGAGAATCGCTGTCCATTTGATGGGTAGGATGGCTAGTGAGTTCCTATGGAATGGCGATGTTGATCTGGCGTGACACGGATTGTTGACGGCCGAAGTCGAACTCGAAATTAGACTCTTGACTGAGTTCGTCTGCTCCTACCACCCACCCCACCATCACACCTAAAACCATCCCCTCTAACCACCCTGTCGAGCAAGACGACTGATGGCACGAATACCACCACCTGTGGCCCACACCAATGGCCAGGCAACGTCACAGTGGAGCTCAACTATGGTTGATCTCCCCACTATTGCCACCTTCAATCTATTACCGCCCATTGACTTCAAGACCAATACAAACTCGCCGGCCGATTCATGGGAGACTGCGTTTGTATGGGGGTTCTTGCTACGGTTTACCCCGCTGAAAGGGCAGGTAGAAGGACTTGAGAATGTCAAGGAGTGAGTGTGCATCGCGTGTTGTCGCCTTTCAATGATGCTCAACGACCTTTGACCTTCCTCACTTAGTTTTGAGAATGCCCTTGTAGAGGTTGAACAGTCCCTAATATTACACGCTATTCTCGCCAAGTTCATCGACAACTTATCGCCGAGGCGAAATACGAAGTGGGTGGCCCAAACAACTCATTGTGACGCGTCATTCAGCTCACCACTTGGCTTCCGCCTCAAACCATCAGCTTGAAGCAAATATCAAGCTCGCTCTACGCGCTAATCAATGATTTCTGCGCTGGGAACGAACGTTCTGTGTGGTGGAACACCGCCAGAAACAAAAATCTCCATCCGTTTTCGTCAGATCTAAATTTCTTCGCTCTTGGGTGGCAAGAGAAGGTCAGACCACTCTTCCCCGATTTGTTGCTACTATAGCAAGCTTGCCCGAACCCTGTGGCTGACCTTTTGATGCCGACAGATTGTCATTCTCCGTCAGTTGGTGGAGTGGCAACTCGCTCATAATGCCGACGTGCGAAACCTATTGGACCGCGCACACGGTGTGGTGAGAGGGGGGCATCGAAAACGTGCTGACGACACACCCAGGCCGGTCCTTATTCCGCCGGACCCAGAGCATACAAGAGAAAAATTGCAGTTCGTTCCACTTGGACTTGATTCCACCCGGAAGAGATATTGGGTCATTGACGGTATGTCACCCACCTTTTACCAATCTTTTCTTCACCCGCCACCCTCGCTATGGACGGCAGTGCGTCGCTTCGGTGTTGGAAGCGGCACAACCCGATTACCGACTTCTCCGCGACGTTACATTTACTGACCATCCCGATTCTCCCCTTCCCATTGACATTTACTTGCCATTGCCTTATCCTGTGGCTCTTCGCTGCCTCCACCTATTTGTGGTGTGCTGGCGTCTTGTTCGTTTTGTACATCCACGTGGATCCGTCTCTCTCCCCGCGGGAATTTCCACTGTCGCCATTATATCTTGACCCCTGGGCATCGGACTCTTCCCTCCGGCTCCCCGTTCTTTCCTGACGGTCCTATTGGTCGTCTT